ATAAAGAAGGTGGGAGAGAAATGTTTCTTCGTAACTTTAGATCTACTTTATCTCAACGGTGTGCCTGGATGAACCAAAAAAGTATGAAGATGAAAAGTGTACAGGCAATGCATTTGTACGTTTTAGAGACAAATGCAGTTGCGGTGAAAAGAAACTATTACCCTTTTGTCCCTGTAATCAATGACACATTAATGAGGACTTTAACTCGTGGGGGTCCCAGCACACTTTCATTTCAGAAACTATCTATAGACCTAATCCCTACACATATGAACGTGAAATTAAATTATAAACATGCCCAATTACTGATTGTTACCCTCAAGTGGTCAAGGTCTGTTTAGTTAGGCCTGAGTCTGGGTTGGGATCGGTTTGGTCAACTAGTGGGACTAGTGGGAAACTGCACTGCAAAAAAAATATTTTCATGATTTGTAATCACAACAACTTTTCTTTTGTCAAATCAACTTAAATAATTTATGTAGTTCAGATAACATAATATTTTGAGTTTCTGGTGCTTTAATCAGTCTCCTTCATTGTATTAACTCAATTTTTCCAGTTCAATGAACTTGCAAGCACACTGATAAAAAATGATTTTGTGGTGAAGTAAATACTACAGAAAAAAAAACAATTTAATTTACATGAAAAAGGTTAGTTCAGGCAAAAATTAAAAAAAGAAGTAAATTCTATAGTAGAACTCAATTAAATCGTGTAGAAATGAAAGCGTAAATATCAACATTATAAAATTAAGTAAAATTACTCAACTTTTCTGATACTGGTGTTCCCATCATACACTGGGCCATAAATAATTAATAAGGTTGATTTTTCACTGTTTTTCAGCTGTAATTTACTCTATTTTATCATTGCTTTTGTTGTTAGGATTAGTAATTTGCCATTTTGTGACATTTGGAGTTCATTTTCTACTTAAAATGACACATTCAAACACAAAAACTATCTATCAAATGTTACCGTCATTGTGTATTGTCTACCAAGTATTGATGTCTGCATTCACACATGCTAAATCAAAAGTGAAGACATGATGAGACACACTGCAAGTAATGATTACTTAAACAGTGTGGTCTAATTCAATGTTATATTGTATGAGCGAAATGTTGTGTTAAGAAAAATTCAATTAAATAGAATAGATATTGCTTAATCTTTAATTAGCTAAATAAAAAATTACTTAATTTCTTATGTTACTCTCACTTAACTTAGTTAAGTATAGTAATTGTGAAATTTACTAAAAAAATATCAGTGCAAAAACTTGCCTTGAAAAAATTAAGTAAACTTATTGTTTTTTTACAGTGGGACTAGTGGGAAACTGCACTGCAAAAAATATTTTCATGATTTGTAATCACATTTTTTCTTTTGTCAAATAAACTTAAATAATTTATGTAGTTCAGATAACATCATATTTTGAGTGTCTGATGCTTTAATCAATCTCCTTCATTGTATTAACTCAATTTTTCCAGTTCAATGAACTTGCAACCAGGTTACTTCATTTTTCTAAGTTAAACCAACAATATTTTTTACAGTGTGCTTTAAGTTTTGCAATTCCCCAAAAATGATTTTTTTAACCAGGTAAATTTCACAAACCTGAACACTTATTTGCATATAAAAAACTACGCCTATTTTAGGGACATCATCATGAAATTTGAGTATACAGTTACTCCCCACTTCAACACTCTTTAAAATGGAAAGATTTTTTTTATGTTTTTAAAAGAAGTCTCATATCCCAAGGGTGCATTTATTTTAATTACAATAATATTATGAAAGTAATATTGTATTACTGTAATATTGTAAAATATTATTACAATTTAAATAATTGTTTTTTGTTTTAATATGTTTAAATTGTAATTGATTCCTATGCTCAAAGGTGAATTATCTTCAGTGTCACACACTGATAAAAATAATTTTGTGGTGAAGTACATACTACAGAAAAATAATGTAATTTACATGAAAAACTTAGTTCAGGCAAGAATAAAAAAAAAAGTAAATTCTATACTCAATTCAATCGTGTAGAAATGAAAGCGTAAATATCAACATTATAAAATTAAGTAAAATGACTCAGGATATTTTTTCACTGTTTTCCAGCTGTATTTACTCTATCATATTTTATCATTGCGTTTGTTGTTAGGATTAGTAACTTGCCGTTTTGTGACACTTGGAGTTCATTTTCTACTTAAAATGACACATTCAAACACAAAAACGATCCATCAAATGTTACCGTCATTGTGTGTATACCTCAAAATGAAGATACAGTGACACACACACACACACACACACACACACACACACACACACTATATATATATATATATATATATATATATATATATATATTATGAGTAAGTCATATACTTAAAAAGTCAATATTAATGTTTGAGTGAAATGTTGGACAAGAAATATTCAATATTTTAACAGATATTACTTAACCTTTAATTAGCTAAATAAAAATTACTTAATTTCTTATGTTATTGTCACTTAACTTAGTTAAGTATTTACTTAATTCTGTGTGAAATTTACTCAAAAAATATCAGCGCAAAAACTTAGATTTTGCATGTGCATGATAATTCAGAATTTTTTTTTTGTGTGGAAGTATGTGAGTTTTACTGAATTTAATTATTTTGTATTTATTTATTTATTTTTTTTGTTATAATTCTATCCAGACAAGTTTGCACTATATTGAGATTACATTAGGTAAATATGTTTATTTTCATGAAATAATGTCACAATGTTTTTTTTTCTTCAATTTTGAATAATTTTCTAGTTACTTTAAATGTAATTATCAATCAACTTTATTCTGGTTGCTGACAGTGAGGGGGTTAGTCTGTTTATAGTGTAAATTGTTTAAATATGTGGCATTATTATGTAAAGATGTGGCAGTAGTGTTTCTCAAGAGTAATTACATGAACTAAACTGATTGATGTGTCTCTTTTATTGGCTTGAGTGTGTGCTTTACTGGTGCAGGAGACATTTGTGTGATGAGAGTGTTTCAGTAATGAGGTCCCATGGGACTCTCACCGGGTAATTACAGTCTCTATGAGATATTAAACTGTTTCCTGTGTCTTTTTGTTGGGCTTTAATTGCATGCAACAAGTAATGCAAGTCTTTTCATTCTTTTCCATGGTACAAATAGATGTAAGTTGCATTATGTCTGCAAAAGAATTGCTTTATATGATAAATAGCTTCACATAAGGGAATTTTAAGAGACTTCACAGAGAGCTGAAAGATTACACGTTTTATTGAAATTGATTGCTGAAGTGTGTTTCATCTTGAGGGACTGTGTCGATGTGTTGGGCAATCACACTATTTTTGTACTATTCTTGTTTGAATATATATATATATACATTTGAACTCTTAACACCTAAGCTGATAATTCAAATTAAGCGAAGTAAGCACCTAAGGTGTATAATTTATATATATATATATATATATATATATATATATATATATATATATATATATATATATATATATATAAAACAGTATTTAGAATTACTAGAATGACCTTCCAATCACTCATTGTTGGAAGGTCATCCCTTGACTCATGACATTGTAACCAGGAAGCTATAAAGGATACCAGGACCGAACATCAGCTTTTTGATTGGCTGAAGTACCTCACAGGCATGCAGGAAGTATGGCAATTCGAAACAGCATCTCATCGGTTGTTCTCATTCTAGAGAGCATTTTATTTGACAAATCATCAATACTGCCTAGACTTTTCATGATGAGAAGCAGAGACCAATCCTTTCTTCTATATTGAGACATAAACAGAGTGTTACAGATTATCAAAAAAGAGCGGGAACTTGGTTCTCTCCACTGCTTCTTGGTTTTGAGATGTGGGCTTTGCACTCAAAAATGAATGCGTGCTTGCAGTCGATTGTGGATTGGAGAAGTCCTGCATACTTTACCATAGAAAAGTGGAAGATCGAGTCATGACATTTAGATTAAAGTTGTCATGAAATGGAAATTGCAATCATCTTTTATTCTCTATTGTAATGTATTTTCAAGTGAAACTTGAAATTATACATTGAGAAAAAAATGTAGAGTTTGTACATTGGGATTGATTGGACCATTGTGGACATCAGAGATGTCGAATCATTTGTAAAAAAAAACACTGCAACATTCCATTAAATATGTAAATATACAAGGTATAAAAAAATGAAAATATAAATCGATGAATCCTTCCCAATAAGATTTATAACATGCATTCCCAAAATAGGTGAACTTTCATTTTATGCTGACTCGGTAGTGTCATAGAAAAACAATATCATCAGAATCACCTTCAGAGCTGTTTTTTTCTAGATGACGAATGATGACAACACAATCATCCACTCAGAATCCACCTTAAGCTACACTGTAAAAAATATTTTCAAGATTTGTTATCACAACATATTTTCTTTTGTCAAATCAACTTTATAATAATTTATTTAGTTGAGAACTTATTTTTTTTTTGAGTTTCTGATGGTTAAATTAATCTCCTTCATTGTATTAACTCACTTTTTCCAGTTCAATCAACTTAAAATTTTAAGGCAACCAGGTTACTTACTTTTTTAAGTTAAACCAACAAAAATAAATGTACAGTGTAGTAATGACAACATTTTTTCTTTTGTCAAATCAACTTAAATAATTTATTTAGTTCAGATAACATATAATTTTGAGTTTCTGATGATTAAATCATTCTCCTTCATTGTATTAACTCACTTTTTCCAGTTCAATGAACTTAAAATTTTAAGGCAACCAGGTTACTTACTTTTTTAAGTTAAACCATCAATATTTTTTACAGTGTATAGACGACAACATTTCAGCGCGCGCTTACAATACACAGAACAATATTGTCTGCTGATTTGGACGCTAATATAGTTATCCTTATTCTTGTCTTTATTGTTATTGTTCTTTCTTGGTGTGGACGGGCCTGAACAGACATGAACTAATTCAGATTTGATTAATTTAGGGACATAGTTTCAATGTTGCTGACATTTTGAATGTGTATGTGTGTATTTCAGGTCTCATCATCAGACCAGGTGGAGGACATCGATTTTTCTGTGAAGCATGAGAACATGGTGCACACCGATTCCAGTCGCAATGCGAGTCCCAGTGATGGCACTGAACTCAGCTGTGACCTGCTGTCCTTAAAGAGTGACACCCTATCTCTGATCAGTGAAACGGCCATCTCATGCAAAGTTAGCACTACACACACAGTGTTTTATTTATTTTAAACCAATTACCTCTACTATCCAAATAGCTTCACACTAGCAACAAATTCTCTCACTGACAACATCTAAGTTATGCCTTTTCCATTACAATGATTTTTGATTCTGACTGATCGAACTCCCGTTGCTCGTGTCTCACGCTATTCTAATTAGCATTAGCAGTTTCATCTTCGTGATCTCTTTTGATCAGAAACACCATCAGCTTTACTCATGGATATGGAAAAGGAAAATATGCTTGACTGACTTTTTGACTGACAATTTTGTGATATTAACTTGGCAAAAGTGATTTTGAACTTAAAGGGATACTCCACCGTTATTTCATATTAAACTATGTTATTCCTTTAACTTAGACGAGTTGATACATACCTCTTTGTCTCAGAGCGTGCACGTTAGCACTTAACTAGCCCAGTTCATTATATAGGGGCCAAGCAGAGAAGCGACCAAACACCTCCATGTTTTCCCTAATTAAATAGTTACACGAGTAGTGTAACTCGACCTAGGACGGTGACTCAAAATAAAACGTTGCGCTTTTTTAAGCGTGTAAAGTGGATAACTACGTATATTGTATGGCGGAATGCCACAGCAACTGCACGGCACATATATATCTATGGACTTGCCGCAGTAATATCATCACTCCGGAGAGGGAGAGGACTTTTCACGAGTGATGATATCACTGCGCCGAGTCGAAGTGCTCCCAAGCACTTGCTGTGGTATTCTGTGGTAATACTATACAATACCCAGACAGCAAACTGACATTGAATCAACGTGGAAACGACGTCTCTCATGACATTGAAACAACATTGATTTTGCTCATCGAATTAACGTTGAACCAACGTCAGACGCGGCATTCTTCAAAGCTAAATGAAAATCGAAAATTGGTTTGCTTTCATAACGTTGAAACAACGCGTTGATTTCAAGTTGATTTTCCGTTAGTTTTGAAAGAATGACGCGTCTGACGTTGGCTCAACGTTAATTCGATGAGCAAAACAATGTCAGATCAACTTTGTTTCGATGTCATATTTCCACGTTGATTCAATGTCAGTTTGCTATCTGAAGGCAGGGACCGCTATGTGGACAAAATCTGCACTTTTTGGATCCATATGAAATTTCCAACTAACGGTGCACTGGGAGCACAGTAACTTAATCCGGACAAAGGTAAACTGCGCTCCACCTGGCTGCTAGATTAGTAATAGTTAGTGCTAACAACCATTCACACATTTAACGTACTTTTAACTATTTGTTTCAAAAGTGTAGTTAGTAGCTGTTTTAAACCAAACTTAAAGGGTTAGTTCACCCAAAAATGAAAATTAAGTCATTAATTACTCACCCCCATGCTGTACCAACCCCGTAAGACCTTCGTTCGTCTTCAGAACACAAATGAAGATATTTTTGATTAAAGGGGTGATGAACTGAGAAATCAAATTTTCCTTGAGCTTTTGATATCTAAGAGGTCATCATATTATAAGAATATCCTGTAAGTTTCAGAACTGAAAACGTCCTTGTTAGTCCAATAAAAGCTTTTATTTACACCAGCCTCTGAAAACGTCTCGTTTTGAAAAGTGGGAAACTATGACGTCGAAGGGGTTAAAACACCACCCCCGCAGAAGAAGATCAACACCTACTTCAACACGGCCGGTTTAGCCCCGCCCACCGATTCGCGCATTACACAGCATAGCTAAGTAGCCTAACATACATGCCTACCTCGTGATGACAAACCGGATCGATCTACAGAGCAATACAGAATATTGTGCAGTGCCTGGTTGTGGAAGAAGACAGTCGCTGCATAAGCTTCCTCTGGATTCCAATAGGACTTCATGGATAAACTTTATTTTTAATGTCGTTCCAGCTGATGAGGTAAAACATCGTCGTCTGTTCGCTTCATTTCACTGAGGATTGTTTTGTAAACAAGAATGGATTTGCAGACGATTAAGAGTAAAGAACGTGCTGTGCCGTCTATATTGGATCTGACAGGAATTGTGCAACACACGGACTCTGGGTCGAACATGTATGGGTGAATCCGGTTGCCATTTGACAACATTGGACGTTTTCCCCCACGTTACACGAGATATATCCAGCTGCAGACCCGCAGCACCACCAGTTTCAGAACCCCAGCGCCAGAACCGGAAGTGAAGGAGGGGCGGAATTATTATTATTGCATTATAATTATTTTAGCAAGTATGTAAGGACAAACCGGGCCTTGAGTTCCTCATTTGATACATTGTAAGTTAAATTTTAAAAAAATAATGCCGAATTTTCTCTTTTTTTAGAATTTGACATTATTTTACACGAAAAATGCATGCTGCACATGTTCTTGTGAAATAAAGTATATTTTATAAAAAAATACCCATGCTTTTTTTATTTAATTTTTATTAAACAATCAAAATCATCTTACAAATACATCTTCAATATCAAAACAATTTAAGATTTTTGTAAACACAATAAAGAAATAAATAAATAAATAGAACATAAAATATCACAGAGGTCTAATGAGTTGTCAGATTGTGTATAATTTTGAAAACCTCCAATGATTGTCTTGTTTTATATCTTTCAAAGCTTTATTATACAAAGTTAACTCCTTCATAAAAACCAAAAAACAAAGGTCTTATATTCCTAAATCTACACTTATGTATAAACTGCTTAGCTAAAATTATTAAACTGTTATACATTATAGAGTCTGGTTGAACCAGGCTACATTAAAATGCCCATAAGTTTCAAGTATTATTTTTTTCACCATCATGATCAGGAAGTAACTCGTAATACAATGAAACGAATAACTGAAACTGTATACAATTATATTCCACAAAATCAATGTTTTAAAATGCTTATTGTACAGTAATGTATAGCATCATAACATACGTAGAGAGTAGGACGTTTCTTGTTCAATAAAAGCTGTTTCATGTGTAAAATACCCTCCAAATTACGTTAGGTGGCGTTATTAGGTTTCAAATCGAAGCTCCGCCCCTCAATTACGTTCCTGGCGCTGGTGTTGGTTAGAATCTAACGCCACCCCTAACTTCCGGTTCGGGCGCTGGGGTTCTGAAACTGGTGGTGCTGCGGGTCTGCAGCTGGATACTATCCACAAGTTTCCGAGGGGCGCTCCTGTAAAAAATAAAGTGGGTGAAACTTCCGGTGATGCGGCGGAAGTAGCATTCCAATGGTATTTTGTGTGTTAGTTAGCGAAGAGGCTAGCTGTTTTTCGGAGAATTATTTTACTATTTAAAGACGCAAATCTTTATGAGAGATGTCGTTACGGAGCTCAGGGACAACATGCGCTGTTCGCGGTTGTATGTATAACCGGACTAAACTAATTTAGTGGCTTAAATGGGATTGTTTTGAACATAAGCTGAAAACAAAATCAGAGTGATCCTCCCAGAGCCTGTCTCTGATCCTGCCAACGACTGTAGTTTCCATCACCTCCCAAAAGACGACGAATCTTCCTGTGTTCATTTGTTTAAATTCTTAATGTTCTCTAAACTCTATCAGCATGTGATTGGCTGTTCGCTACTGATGTTACACCTAAACTCAGGATCAAAGCCTGTGTTGACAGAATACCAAATGTGCCAGTTAATGTATTCAAGCAGCACATTCATTTATAATTTTGAATAAACTCCAAAGCACAATGACTAAGTGTGTATTTTTTATTTGAATTGTTTGTCAGCTCGCACATCTGTCTGTCACCATGCCTTGATGAGTATTGATTATTAATAATGTTATTATAATACTCCCAATCAACTACTGCGGAGGGTAAAGGTAGTGTTATTTCATCCTTTTTAATTTCGTTGAGGTTGTGTTCCCACATCGTTATCTAGTTTGGATCGCTATAACTTGAATGACTGTCAACTGTTGAATGAACGAGTGTGAAGTATGTCAAGTTGCGCTTTGTTTACTTCCAACCGGAAGTCGCGCCCACTTTTGACGCAAGGCCTCATGGGGCGTAGGAAACTTGTGGATAGCGTTACACCGACGGGTGAGTTAAACTCATTATAATATGCAAAACTGTTATCCACTCACAGCAGTGGGCGTTTACTTCCAAGTCTTCAGTGCGACACGCCCATAAAAACCGACCGTTTTTCAGGAAAGCTCACAACTTGGGTACAAAATAGCCTATTACTTATTCATTTTGATGTTTCTGAATGCAAAAACCAAGCGAACGTCTTAAGTTGACCTCAGACAACAATATAATAACATTTTAAAAGCCAGTTCATGACCCCTTTAAATTTGAGAGGTGCATCACTACTAAATGGGCTGCCTATGGGGTAGAAACTTGACGGCCCAGAAAGTCATTAAAGAAACGAGAGTTAAGAGATTTCTCTTAGGGAAATCTCTTGAACTCTCGTCTCAGGCCTACAAGGAAGAAAAGGAATAGTCGAATAAAGTCGTTATTTTTGTTTGTTTGTTTTTCGCACAAAAAGTATTCTCGTCACTTGTTCACGGCTGAAGGGGTTGCAGGCACTACAGCACAGTCTAGTTCAATCTAGTTCTCTTCAGTGTCACTGTTTTATTTGATCAAACAGCATATGCTCATCATTACATACTCAAGTGCATCTCTGGCCTTGGCTCATCATGTTTTCTCAGCTTGTCTTTTGTAATCCTCTTAGAGGCTCGTGCTTGCCCTGGCTCAGTGAATGTCTTAACCGTACAGTGAGTATGGTAACCCTACTGATGAGGTCAGCCCAGCCTGCCCTCCTGTGTCAGGTCTTAGCATGTTTTTAGACCTCTTGATTTGGATTGATCCCATGGTGTTGGGTTGACACACAGCCGGCTGTGTTTGTTTGTTGCCTTCTATAGTGTCATATACTCTAATTAGGGGACAAGCTTGAAGGAAACTTCTGGGTTCAAGTTAAGTTCAACTCTTTGGATAGCATATCATGATTTTTATACTAAATTTTCTAAATGACTTACTAAATTACTACATTTATGATGTATCTATTACTAAATACTATTAAAGTATTATTTTTTATTTATTATTG